GTATTTTATTTAGGATAAACCACTTATTTAAAATATTCCGCAGCCTGCCATGGCAAGGCATATACGTGTATATATATATATATATATATATATATATATATATATATATATATATATATATATATATATATATATATATATATAAATATATATATATATAATGCCACAATAATAACAGCAACAAATAACAAAAAAATAAGACAGACCTACTTTGGTGTTGCATTAATATCTTAAAGAGCGTTTATAATATTATAAACATAATATTTAATAATTTAATAATTATATTTAAGATAAACACCTTACCTCCATTTAATAAACACTTATTTGCCATATTCTGTTAAATTGAAGTTTAAAGTTTAAGTTAAATCATTTAAGTTAATAACTAAATAAATAATAATATTAATAATGATATTAATAACTATAATAATAATAAAAATAATAATAATAAATTATTATTTTATACAGAGTATTATTTAGGCCTACAATAGCCCTGAAACAATGTAAACCAGGTGCTGCTCGGAAAAGGCTATCTTTGCTCAGCATCAGGTGCACAGCAGCAAGTTTGGCACTGAACTATGAATGTATTTTAATGGCAAATGTTTAATAATACTACTAATTTACGTTTTTATTTAGTTAATACATACGCAATGAATGTAAGCCTGCTAACTGTGTGTGGTTCAAATGATTGAATATGTAAACTTAGTTTATATAGGCTAATTAATAATAAATAAAAGCCTGCGTGTAAGGCTTTTATTTTGAGGGCGAACGTGAAAGTGGGCGTTTCAGCACCGCCTATATGTGTAAAATGAATTTTAAAGTCGTTTATCCGTTTTCCTACCCTAAACAAAAAAAAAAAACGAAAATCCAGCCAAAATCTCGTTTTTTCGTTTTCTCGTGAGCAAAAGAAAAACGGGAAAACGGCCGTTTTCTCAATTTCCTTTATTCTGTTTGAAAATGGAAAACAAATGAACAAAACATACACGGGTCCGTGTATCATCCGTTCATTTGATTATTCCTTTTATTACGGAAAACGAAACATCAGAAAAACGATGAATATTTCGTTTTTCTGTTTATTCTGTAGGCAGAAAAAACGGAAACTCATCTGTTATTCTGCTTATTAACTTAAAACGAAATATTAAAACAAACACAAAACCAAAACGAAATAATGAGTCAAAATATGGTCCGTATACGGTCCGTGTACGTTTTGTTCATTTGTTTTCCATTTTCAAACGGAATAAAGGAAATGGAGAAAACGGCCGTTTTTCCGTTTTTCTTTTGCTCACGAGAAAACGAAAAAACGAGATTTTGGCTGGATTTTCGTTTTTTGGTTTAGGGTAGGAAAACGGATAAACGACTTTAAAATTCATTTTACACATGTAGGCGGTGCTGAAACGCCCACTTTCCTCTAATTGGTCAACCAAATCTGCGCTCATGACGTCACCCTCAAAATAAAAGCCTTACACGCAGGCTTTTAATTATTATTATTTAATTATATATATAAACAAAGTTTACATATTCTATCATTTGAACCACACACAGTTAGCAGGCTTACATTCATTGCGTATGTATAAATTAAATAAAAACGTAAATCAGCAGTATTCTTAGACATTTGTCATTAAAATAAGGTCATAGTTCACTGCCAAACTTCTTGCTGCTGTGCACCTGATGCAGAGCAAAGATAGCCATTTCCGAGCAGCACCTGGTTTGCATGATTGTTTCAGAGCTATTGTAGACCTAAATAATAGCCTACTCTGTATAAAATAATAATTTATTATTATTATTATTATTATTATTATTATTATTATTATTATCAGTTACTAGTGTTTTTATTGTTTGGTGTGTTTTTTTTCTTTTTTATAGTTGTTACCAGAACCAGAATAAGAACACTTTGGGCCCTGCTATAAAAACAAAGGGTACCATTTGTTTTCATTTATTTCTTCCTATTTTAATTATATATTGTAATTATTTATTTGATAATTAATACTATTTTATTGCAACGCCAAAGTAGGCCTGTCTTATTATTATTTTTTTTTTATTAAATTTGCTGTTATTGTAGGCTAGATGGCAGGCTTTAAATATTTGAAATAACATTTACTCATAACCTTACTAATTCGAGAGCCGAACCTAAAAATGTTTACGTGCAATAAGCCTGTACAATAAAGGGAGCCGCAATGCATATTTCTAGCGCATTCTTTCACTCAACAATTATTGCTGGAATAATGAAATAAATTTCAAATTAACTAATTGAACACATTATAGTTGATAAAAAAAATTGTGTCTAGTAGTTCCGACAAACAGATGAGCTCGCTACATGTGCGTTGCTCTAATAATTTGACATTTGCTCTTCTTGAGAAAGTGCTACAGCGGGCCCTGCTATTTCACATATAAGGTTAGTGATACATATTTTAAATTAGTATTGCACATTATTCATTCATTTTCTTGTCGGCTTAGTCCCTTTATTAATCTGGGGTCGCCACAGCGGAATGAACCGCCAACTTATTTAGCAAGTTTTTATGCAGCGGATGCCCTTCCAGCCACAACCCATCTCTGGGAAACATCCACACATACACACACACTTATACAGTACGGACAATTTAGCCTACCCAATTCACCTGTACCGCATGTCTTTTTACTGTGGGGAAAACCGGAGCACCCGGAGGAAACCCACGCGAACGCACCACACTACTGAATTAGACACACAATCTCAAAAAAAAACTTGATGCTTATTTACATTATCTAAAGTCATTTCTTAAGAGGTAGGATCTGTTGTTGTATTATATATTTTCGTTTTAATATGCAAATAATTTTCTTTAATTTGTAATAGGTCCCTCATTGCATAAAATAACCAGCCTTTGTATTCAATATGTTTGTAAATTGTCCATCCAGTTTGACGCAAGCTAAACAACATTTTGGCCTGTATTAATAATCAAATAAATATTTACAATAGGCTAAAGGCATATATTAAATTAAAATAGGAGAAAATCCAATAGAAACAAATGGTACCATTTATTATAGCCCCATGCAGGGTCCATTGTGTTCTTACAACCATTAAATAACTAAGTAAATAATAATAATAACAATACTAATAATAATAATAATAATAATAATAATAATAATAATAAATTATTATTTTATACAGAGTAGGCTATTATTTAGGTCTACAATAGCTCTGAAACAATCATGCAAACCAGGTGCTGCTCGGAAATGGCTATCTTTGCTCTGCATCAGGTGCACAGCAGCAAGAAGTTTGGCAGTGAACTATGACCTTATTTTAATGACAAATGTCTAAGAATACTGCTGATTTAAGTTTTTATTTAATTTATACATACGCAATGAATGTAAGCCTGCTAACTGTGTGTGGTTCAAATGATAGAATATGTAAACTTTGTTTATATATATAATTAAATAATAATAATTAAAAGCCTGCGTGTAAGGCTTTTATTTTGAGGGTGACGTCATGAGCGCAGATTTGGTTGACCAATTAGAGGAAAGTGGGCGTTTCAGCACCGCCTACATGTGTAAAATGAATTTTAAAGTCGTTTATCCGTTTTCCTACCCTAAACCAAAAAACGAAAATCCAGCCAAAATCTCGTTTTTTCGTTTTCTCGTGAGCAAAAGAAAAACGGAAAAACGGCCGTTTTCTCCATTTCCTTTATTCCGTTTGAAAATGGAAAACAAATGAACAAAACGTACACGGACCGTGTACGGACCATATTTTGACTCATTATTTCGTTTTGGTTTTGTGTTTGTTTTAATATTTCGTTTTAAGTTAATAAGCAGAATAACAGATGAGTTTCCGTTTTTTCTGCCTACAGATTAAACAGAAAAACGAAATATTCATCGTTTTTCTGATGTTTCGTTTTCCGTAATAAAAGGAATAATCAAATGAACGGATGATACACGGACCTACACGGCCCCTTCACAATGCCAAGTTCTCTGAGCCCTGACTGTGTGGTTGAGTTGAACATTGAGTACGTTTACAAGGCCAACAATACTTTAATACGATTAAGACAATGCTCTGATTAGAGTCAACCATGTAAAACGATTTTTGATTACCTTAATCTGACTAAAGTCATATTTGAACTAAACTGAAATGAAATTAAGACTTGGGGTATGAATATATTAGAGGCATTATTGAAGTAAACACTTTGTTTACTTCATTATTGAAGTAAACGCACATTTTGTGACAGGATCCACACACACATTATAAAATGCTGAGGTTTTTTCTTTTACTTTCCATTCGGCTTTCCATAAAAAAAAAAATAAAAAAACACTCTTCCACCAGTTCACAGGGCAGTGAAGGAAATGTTTATGAGTAAAAGTGAAACTTGAAACAAACTGCAGTAAAGTCGAAAAATTAAAGATAAAAAACCCAAAATTACATAAGTCTTTGCAGGAAACATGACTAGCCAGGTGATGCAATATTCAAAAAGCACTTTGCGTAACACCTTAATTATATTATTGTCTTATAAAGCCAAACTACTGATGTCCATGTAAACATAGTCAGTAATGTCTTCAAAGTAAGTGAAAGATCCAAAAGGGCATCAAGCTGATTTGATTCAGAAAGGTACTTTTTTTTTTTTTTGTCAGACGGCTCACCGGTTTGACTTTCATTCATTCACCGTCATTAGCTTTAAAAAGCCCCCGGTCCATTTTATTTGTAAATATTTCACTGAAACGCATTAACCCTAAAAGTGCCTGATAGTTAGCTGTGGAGCTAACGTTAATCATATTCCCTCTAGCGAACGCATAAAAATCGTCATCATAATTTACTCGAGTGCATGCCTCAAAGTTTCGCGCCCCCCCCCTGCCAACAGTTTAAAAACCCCTGCACTAGAGTATGAGTACAAAATATTGTGGGTGCCAATCGTTACCTGTGAATTTGATCAAGACTCACACCGAACAAATCCATGTCAGTCAGATGGCCTCTAGACAGTCCATGGCCAAATAAAGTAAAAAAATAAATAAATAAATAAAAAAAGTATATATATATATATATATATAATCCAGGTTAATTTTATTTTATTATGGTCTTGGCAAGCAAAACATGTTACTTGTGACATCTGTCAGAATATCTTATTTTATGTATGGAAAGAATGAAAACATGTGAACTGCACACAAATGAAAAAATGACAAGTTTTCATTTTTGTATGAATGATCTCTTTTAAAATGAATGTAGCAGCATTGATTTAAATCCCTCCTACTAAACAAGTCTGGCTTCATGTGAAAACTCGTGCTTTATCTTATGACTTTTATGGCAAAAAAGAAAAAGAAAGAAAAAGACAGAAAGAAAGAAAGAATTCCCTACTCTTTTATTAGTGAAAATGATATGGTGCCCCTAATTTTAAACCATACTGATGTGTGAAATGGCTAATGAATGCATTTTTATGTTTTTTTTATTATTATTATTTTTTTTAATGTGAGGCAAGTATGAGAATGTTGCTTAATAGGTGCCATCACAGAATGCTGTGGGTGATATGAAGTGTTCATTTATTTCTCATTGGTTGTTACAGGGACTGTCTATTGCAGCTCTGTCTACATTATAGCCTTCATTAAAAGTTAAGCTTAACATTAAAAGTTTTTGTGTGCTGAGTATCCTGTTTAAACATATGTAAATTATACCTACTGTAGATTCAAAGAAAAAAAAAAAGATGATGATAAAAAGAATATTGCAGATGAAGAGTTTGATCTGAGATCAAAGTCCAGCACTCAAGGCTTGATGGATGGATTCAGCAACATAGTCCAGGTTACGACTATTAATTGCACTAATATTAAAACACCCGTTGGGTAATAAGTAGATGTGTTTCTTCTGAACCAGAAACTCAACCTGTTGAACTGACAAAGAAGGTAAGAAAGAATTACTTTCTTGAAAGTTTTTCAACTGCATCTTTAATGAATTATGTATTGAGATCCTCCTGTAATGTATGCTGAACTACTGACAGTATAAAGTAGCATTATAGTGTCCCCAGGAATGTATTATGTATCACTCACCATTGAGTCCAAAACAGCAATATAACCCTCCCGGTTTTAAAATGCGGTCCCAACACCCCGGAACACCCAAAAGCCTCAGTCTCTCACGTAAACGTTCTCGGATAAGCATGCAGCGTTCAGCCATGGCCTTCACACTCTCCTGCCTATAAATTAATTAGAAATTAAATACATCAATAATTCAAACTCATTTGCTGAATAATTTAATTAGTAAGCCTTGGGCATTTGTTCATCTAAGAATTATCACTGCATAATACATGTGAACAAGTGAACAAGATCAACTTTTCATCTTCTAATAATATGACATTTCATTAGAGAATGATTTTACATTGCACTTAAAACATTTGATCTAAATGGAAATGGGCACAGTCATGAACAATATTTGTTTGGAGAGCTTTGATATGAAGAGGCTGTGCAAATAAAACGTTATGATGAAAAGCCTTTTAGGGATTTGTTTATTTCTGGCCTCATATCCCGAAAAAAAGAGAGGGGTCTGGATGCAGACCTGGTGCAGTGCAATCTGAGCTGCATCCAATGCTTTTTAATGGGCTGACCTAACCCTACCCATCACAGTAACGTCACTCGCTCCATTTAAGTGCATTGTGTCTGACATTGCGTTGCTGAGTGATGCAATTTCAGCTTGCATCATAAAGGCTGCATCCAGATACTATTGGAAAAAAAAAAAATTATCATATACATTTAAATGAGTAGCTTAATGCAAACAGTAGCTCTAACGCACGTTATGCAGCTTCAATTCCATGATGTATTTGAGACATTTGTATTCAGACTATAGTTTGTTTCTGGTGTAGAACAAAAGGTATTGATCCATTGCCAACAAGTAAGTTTATTGCTCATACACGACAAGTAATGCAGTTCTTGTAATGGAATTAATTTTTAGCATTTTGACAGTCTTTCAGCTATAATCAATTGTGTATGGCTGCAAACTTGTACATGCAAGCTTAAATATGCACTCAATAGAGCTAGTGCCATCAATGTGTGGGTTAAAAGTCTCATGAAATATAAATAAAGTTTTTTTGATGTTAGCATTTAGGAAATCTTTAAGCTAGTGCACCAAAACAGTGCCAAAATATTTTGTTTAGAACATATACAACTCAACCGCTTTCTCTGGCCAAGCAGTGATCTAATAAAAGGCATTTGGCTGTTTTCTGAACAGGGGAGGGGCTAAACTATGCCCCACCCTCTCTTCACGTTTCTGTTGAGATTATGTCGAACATCAAATAAAAATGAACGTGTTAAAGCTCTTCACAGGACCTTTAAGGATGGGGTTAGGTGTATGCATTAAAATGCATTACATGCAGTCTCAGCACTGCATGTGCACCTAGTTTGCAGCCATACCCTTCATGCTATGATTGACTGTGTGATATTTCTGGACAGAAAACTAGTGCTAATGTTTAAAACACATTTTTACAGAATACATTTTTAAAATCAATTTACAAAAAGATCAAATTTGATGGTGAGTTGTCTGATTTTCAGAGATCATTTTTTTTTCTGTGAGTTGTGTATTAAAATAGAGCAATTGTGCTTAGATCAACAAAAATGTCTTTCAGAGATTGCCTGAATAAGGAGGTCTGAGGGATATTAAAAATGGATTCAAGACTCTTTCACCAGACTCTTGAATAAACTTGACATTTCAAGAGCCGGATTGTAGACTTTAAAAGATAACTAGGAGGAAGTTCGCACACATGAACACTAGTAAAACACATGAGAGTGAAGAGTCTGAGGACAGGTAATTAAATGCCAAGGCATGTGTTTTTCCAAAATATAGACCTGACAAAGTGCTGTGGCGACTGTGTGCTTTGATACTGGTGAGTACAGTAAGTGGAATTGTGATTAGTAATCCGGTAAGGGAGGCTGGCATGACCGTGACAGAACCTCCCACTTCAAGGCCCACTACTGAAGCCCGAATCCTAGATGTTGTAGGGTTATCCTAAGCCTCTGGGTGCTGGGGCATTAGGATGGGATGCAAGGAACTCGATAGAAGGTTGATATTATACCAATCTCTGGATCTTTTCATCTTCTCCTGTTGACAAGGAATTCCAGCTTACCACCACTGCGTTGAAAACTTGGGATCTCTTTCAGAGGATATCCCATCCTACTTTATGATGTCGAGATCATCTCCAGAACAAGGCTCTGTGGAGATACAAGGAGAATTTACTCCAGAGGATAAGGTAAGATCAATAAATCTGGGACTAAGCTTCTTGCAGGGCAGTCTGTGGCTGAAAGCCAAAGCTTCTGTATTGAAAGGAAAGTTGATGTAGGGGCTCTGGGGACATCCGCTTACAGTTGATTTCAGCATGCCAGAAATGTTGGTGAGTTGAATACCAGACCCGTTCACTCTCCCAGAACCAGTGTTTTAAAGGTGGTACTTATGATTGCTCCCCTGAACAGGGGAAAGGGGAGGTTGGCAAGTGATTGCACACTAGAAGGGAATGAGATCCATGTTTGAATAATGAGTGGAGTTCTGCATGTCCTAAACAAAACAATTAAGCAGTTCCAGTTCCTGTCTTCTTGTCATTACATCTTGTTGTCTTATGGTGTGTATACAACAAATGAGTGATAGACCTTCTCAAGCCAGCGTCTCCATTCTCTGAGGGTGAATTTGATGCCAAGTAACTCTTCATCCCCAATATTGTAGTTCTGCTCCACCAGGCATAGGTATTTGGAAAAGGTGACATATGGATGGAGACATAAAATCATACAGCTCCCACTACCGATGTAGATCATACAGCCTATAAAATGAAGGAATTTTTTTGAATTGGGATAGATTAAATTTGGGGTTGACATGAAGGATTGTTGGAGTGTTTTCAGGGATGTTTTCATGGGAGGCTTTACGAGTCCTGGACAGAGACTAGGGATTGCTCTTTAAATAATAGGTGAGTAGAAAACTTATGGAACTGTGGCCTTAGTAGAAGTGTTTGTAGAAATTCAAGAAACCCAGGAATCTTTGAAGTTGGGTTGTGGCCAGGATTTGATAGATTCCACATTTTCCTCATCCATCTTGATAAAGTGGATTCTTATCTGGGAACCCAGGAACTGAATGGTGGATTGGTGAAAGGTGCATTTCTTAGCTTCGATGTACAAATAATGCTTTCGGGAGCCATTAGAGAACCTCTGAGATATGCTGGTAAAGTTTGTCCTTGTTCTTGAAGTATAAAACAGAGCAGTGGAGAAACCCCTGGAAATGTCATTTGTGTATTCCTGGAATACAGAGTAAGCATCGATCAATTCATATGGTATAACAGAGTACACATAGTGGCCAGAGGGTGTCACAAAAGCAGTCTTCCACTTGTTCCCTCACGTATCTCGATGAGGTTATAGGCACTCATGAGTTCCAGCTTGGTAAAAATTGAGGCTCTGCAAAGCTGTTCGAGTGCCGATGGGAAAAGTGGAAGTGAAACATGACAGTGAGGTTGTTGAGTTCTTGGTAATCAGTGCAGGGCCTCAAGCTTTGATCCTTTTTTGATGCAAAGAAGAAGCTGAAAGCAGCAGGGAAGTGGATGGTTCAATGTAACCTTATTGAAGGGCTTCTTCAATATACTCCTTCGTGGCCTTCTGTTCTGCTCTGATGGAAAGTTGGTATAATTTTCCTCTGGGCACTGGATGATAAAGTAGGGGTATTCCTTATGGATACAGACAGTAGTGGAATAATCGAGAATCAGTTATTCAATGTCTTCTTGATGAAAATTACCTTATGGAAGCTTGATGGTCCATGCACATTTGAACACTTTCTTATCCGAGGGGACCGGTTTTAAATTGTATCTTATACAGGCCGTTGCTGACTCTCTTTTTGTGTCAGGCAAAGATGAAGTTGCCAGCTGACTCAGAATTGATCGGCAAAGTCTGTACTTCTGTAATGGTGCACTGGAGTTCATACCAAACAGGCATATTTATTGAACATACGTATGAGCATAAGACTCATGTAAACTGATGAATAGCAATGTAGACTGAGTTTAGAGTACTGTGCTTGTGTTGATTGATATGGAAAGTTTATTGAAGAATCTTGTCATGTAAAGCTGGATCATAGACTTCATGTGAAAGTACACAATAAAAAGTCATGTCATATGCTTTATGGTACTTTAACTTGTTTTAATGTTAATCAGGTTTCAACTTTATTTTATGTTATACATAAACTATTAAGTTTCTTTAATTGATGTAAGTTAAAAAAAAACGTATAAAATTTGCTTGATTTAACGTAAAACTGTGCTCTTATACTACTATGAAACAGGTGACTATTAAGATCAAGTATGAGTTGTAAGTATTGTGGTGATTTTGAGTGCTGATTGTTGAAAGCAACCTAAGGTGACTGACACAATGCAATAAGATGAAATATATATATATATATATATATATATATATATATATATATATATATATATATATATATATATATATTTTTTTTTTTTTTTTTTGTTTTTCTATTGCTATTTAGTACTGTTCTTAGGAAATAACAGCACATACTTGGATGTATCCCTGAGGATAAATTAGGTGCAATTTGACTTGTTCTTCAAATTCTTAGCCCTTATGTTGACTTACTGGTCAAAATGACCAAGTCACCATTTAACAGCAGAAAATATATATACATTTTTTATTATCTAGTAATTTTAGATACTTTTTTTAAAGATACCACAAGATTAGAAGAAAATGCATAATTTTCGATTTTTTATGAAGACTGTACACATTTAGGGCAGGGATTATCAACACTGTATCTGAAGAGCTACCTAAGATCAGAGTTAAAGCTTAATGGACCCTTTTCACAAGATTAACCGTCATCACAATCTTAAATCCTAGAACGTTTTTAATATTTAGATAAAAAAAAAGAAATGAACATTTAAATGCGTTTATAATTGTATTATATCATCTTTTCTTAGGTGAGGTGTTTGTGATGCAGCGTCTATAGGGCTGAGAGTAAATTTGACATTCTCTCCTCTTGCTGCCGTCATCAGTTTCACACACATTTTTTTTTCTTTTTTTACATTTTCTGAAAGTCTTGATTATTGTTTCAGCAAATAAAGTTGTAAGAAATTATTTGTTGTACACTCCTATTCACTGCAGTTGAATTTTATCCAACCATGACACCTTCCGCTACTGAGAAGCCTGGAAATTTGAAAAGGGTCTATTCCGCAGGAAGGTAGCTCTCCAGGAACAGGGTTGGTGACTCCTGATTAAGGGTAAGCCTTAATTGTCCTTGAGGTCAATTTCAACCCGTTGGCTAAAAAACAATTTTTACATCACAAAAACTACAGGTACACAGTGGCACACAAATAAATTTTTTAGAGGTTTAGTATGCGGGTATTTTTTGACACGGAGGTCAATCTGTGTGTACAGAATTTTAGGACAACACAAGAGTTAATACATCATGCTTCCTTCTGGAGCATCAGTCAGTAACTATGTTCCCATCCATCCACATGTTTATGTTTAATGGAAATGGAAAGATGTGCATACATTTTTGTAAATGTGCATAAAAATCTAGGATAAACTTTGTTTTGTCTCATAAGTAAATATGCATAAACTACTATGGAACAACATTTACAGAATAAATACTAGCATGTACGTAAAAAAGTCATCAATTCAGCGGTTATCTTCTGAGGTGAAAGTAATATATTATACGAGAATAAATGGCAAATTCCATTTTCTTATTTATATCTGGTGCTAGTTTTTAAGCATGAGACAATTTAGTTCTTTATGAATCAATGGAAACAGTGATCTATTTGTAAATGTTTTATGCAATGTTCCAGTAATTATAAAACAATGTTCTCTGTAAAACCTACTGTAATTATAATTTGCAAAACATAGCTTAATTTTTTTTAACATACTTTGTGCATTTTGTAGTTTTTGTAATGTTTAAGTCCTTCAATTGACAAATAAAGGCAAATATGGTCAAATAGTGTAACTATGAAACAAAAGCACATATTTGTACCAGATGTGTGCTATTAATAATAAAAAAAATTGTACTGGATAAACTGGACCTAGATGTACACAAACTAGTTCGGTTGTGCTCCGCTCTTCTATACTAAATAAAAGAACCAGACATTTATTTAAATCACATTGAAAACATCATGATACTACATTTACTACTACTGACTACTACTACTACTAATAATAATAATAATAATAATGATAACAATAATATCTTGTATATATTGTACATACTGTACAATGCTTTTATTATTCATACTGTATGTATAAGTACATCAGTAAGTTCAGAAAGAATGAAGTGCAGACATGAAATACAACATAAATATTTTGCGTAATGCATAATGCATTTGATCTTACCACTCTACCAGATGAGCAGGGTTACTTAGAATAGTGGCAACCACTCTGGCACCTTCCATTGGAGGGCAGGACCAAAGTGTTTGCACCATCTTCTCAGCTTGAGATTGTACAGCCAAGACATTCTGCTTTAATACACAGAGAAGATGCCCCACTCTCTCACCTGTGAATGTGAATTTCCAATATAAGTCTAGTGGTAACATGATTCAATCATAAATCACATGTTATTAAAAATCATATCATACCATAAAGGCCAAAATTGTGTGAAAAAGACTGAGCGCAGAGGAGCTCAAGCCCCAAAGAGACACAGTGGTGAAGAGGCCAGGCATCTTGCTCAAGAGAACCACTGCACAAGCCTTGGGCAGACATCAAGAAGAATGGAAACAACTTGCGTCTCTAATAAAGAGAAAGAGGGAAAAAGAATTAAAAGACTTCAAGGTAAGAAATCCATAAATATGAAATGCTATTGAAGCACTCTGTCACTATTAATTCTTGAATTATGTTTTATCTGTACTAACCGCAATGACATAAAAGCAATACAGCATACATTGTCAATGAACTAAACACATTCTGATGTAAAAGGCATATTTGGCTTGATTCTTCTCTAAAACACTAGACCAGGGGTCACCAATCTTGATCCTGGAGGGCCGGTGTCCCTGCAGGGTTTAGCTCCAACTTGCCTCAACACATCTGCCTGGATGTTTCAAGTATACCTAGCAAGACCTTGGCTGTTTCTCAATATGCGTTCTTCAGCGGTCTTGCGTCCTCGTGTTCTCGTGAAACGTCATCATCAGCTGCCTAAGTTCAGTTCCAATACTCAAGACCGCAAGTACGGAGGACGCGTGAAACTTCCCGGATGTGTTCTTGATATCGAGGACGCACCGATGCAGACTTGAGCACCGAACTTGCTCTGGAAGTCCCAGAAGTCATTGCGACTGAAGGTGGGAAGCGCTGCATTTTATCTAGATTTATTATTAAAGTTCATAGATATGACTTATTTACCTCAGGAGTTTCCCTAAATGAAACGGTGAAAGTAAACATTACCATGGACATCTTAATAAAGGAATAAACACATTAAGGGTGTTTGTTTGCTGAAATTCGTATTAAAATCTGTTTTATTTATATTGTGCAACATATATTTATAATGTTTTTATGCAAAGTATATATTTTGAAAAGGGGAAAAACAATAAATCGTTGTATGAATGCTGTAATGTTTAAATAATTTACCATTTAAAACACATGAAGGTCATGTGACCATCAGGAAGAACGCAGCATCTCAATTCTCAAAGGACGCGTTCTCTGCCCTCGCGGTCTCCTGAGTTCGTTCTTGGACACCTGGCAAGAACGGTCTCCACAAGAACACAAGTCCGTTCTCTGCGTTCTTGGAATTGAGAAACAGCCCTTGATTAGCTTGTTCAGGTGTGTTTGATTAGGGTTGGAGCTAAAATATGCAGGACACCAGCCCTCCAGGAACAAGTTTGGTGACGACTGCACTAGACAATACACTTACTGGCACAACTCTAAATGTCCATTCACTCCAGCAATAATATTTTGCATGTATTGAGACGACACAAGATGTAGCTTTGTATGATCCAGAGATTTAGAGAAAAATGTAGTCAAAAATGTATTTTACTTTATGTACATGTGTGTGCGTGCATGTGTGTAAAGACAAGTTTAAAAGGTTTACGTAAAATATAGTAAACTATAGTTGTGTTATAAGGTTTTACAACAGTAACAATATATACAATGTTTTATTACATGATGATTATTTCATCTTAAATAATCATTCACATGCAGTATATAAAAGTCAATTCACACAGCACAGATGAATAGCAACAAACAAGGCTGTCAAAGATTGTTGAATCAGTGTGTTAACCCTGTCGTCATCTGTTGCTGTTGGTCATTGGAGTTTTTTCTCATGATCAATCTGTGTTTATTGGATCATGGAATGCCTGAGAAGTGTGATATGATTTCGAACAAACAGCAACAAACTGACATAATCTGATGGACTAGATGGGCTTCATGTAAATTTCTTTAAAGCTCTGAGATGTTTATTATTGTGCTTGAAATTCATGGGGTAGTGTAAACATGAGATATTTTAATTAATTTTACAGATATTTACTGGTACGACTGGTATGTGTGAAAGAATCTAATAGCCCTTCACATCGTGATATTGGCAAGTATCTGGAAAATTTTTGGAATGGCTTTACTGGTAAATTAGAAAGTGCTGTGCACACAGGCAAGGACACACTGTAAACTTTAGCATTCATGCAGCTGCTTTTGTCCAAGACAAACCAAATTACTCAACTATAGGACAGAAATGTTGTCACTATTATTCAAAAGCAGAATCGCCAACCGCAAAACTGTTATGTTTACACATTTGACTAAATTACAAAAAGCCAATTCTGTGGACGGTGAATGAATTCAATAAAGAAATATGCAGGAACACATTTGTATGTCGAGTCGTACATTTGAGTTTGTACTGCAGCTTGACCTTTGAAATGAAAGAATCTAACTCACCGGAGCATTCCTTCACGTGCACGCATACAGCTGAATGCAGAACTTGCAAGTAAACTCATATCTGTTTAACATAAGCATTTTATCGATCAATTTTCCTACACCATTCACACAAACCAGCATTCCTGGAAATTACCAGTGATGTTACAACTTCTCGTTCTGGAAAATTGGCAGAATTAGGTCCAATCCCAATTCTATGTTTGTACCCCCACCCCTTCCCATTAGCCCTTAAATCAGAGTGTGAAGGGGAAGGGCTTCAAAATTTACCCCTAATAATTAGGACAGCAGCACCTGCACATGTCATCAGATGTCATAGCGATCTCTTGCTTCATATGAGATCAGACAATCGTGACTGCTATAGTTATTCCAGTTGTGTTATTTTTTGGTATTTATCTTCAGGAAATCACTGTAGGCATATATTATGTTATAATAACCATATAATATGGCACGGTTTTTCAAAGTCTAAGACAGTGGGCCTCCCTTTTGACACAACTAATCCATTGGCGCCCCCCCCTCCTCCCAAACACGCATGCACGCACACACACACACACACATATATATATATATATATATATAAAGTATAGATATAAAGACACAGACAGATGTCAGACTGTTAACTCACTTTTATCATCATTTGCATGAAAGTGCAATTATTTACAGAGTAATAACAAGTATTTTAATGTAACGTTTTTAAAACTAGGATGATGGTTCAATATGAATAGAACAGATCCAAAAACTGTCCATCCCAGTCAAAACAGTCGACGTTTAGCGGGTCTCATGCTGTCATTAGCCAAAATATCTTGACAAACCACACATAAAGGTCGTGGTTCATCAGCTGGTCCTGTCCACGTAAAGCCTAAACTCAAATACTGATCCTCATATCGTCGTCGACTTTTGGGTTTAAGCCCTGAACTTGAAGGCTTTGAATCGGGGGGTCTCAGAAACCGATCCATTGTATTAGCAGGCATATACCTGTATTGGCGGGCGATTTTTTTTCAGGATTAATTTCCACGATTTCCCCAAAGACGAAGGACAGGGAAAATCATGGGTGAAATCATTAGAGGGGTTGAATGTCTGTTCAAGTTATATGCGGGAGTACATTTGTATGCACTTCAAAGCAGAGATCATGTTTTACAAATACTGGTGATTTTAGTTTTATTTTGATGAGTAATTATAATATAGACAAAACTACAGTTAAGCTATCCGCCTTCCACAAACAAGTGCTCATCATGGTTATTAATCTGGAAGCATAATATCTCCCCAAATTGTTGTTTATTTTGGAATAATAGACCATTTATACAAACACAATTCTCTGTTTTGTAATTGGTTTGACAACAAAATAAATTTGTTTAGTCAGTTATATTATAAAGAAGGTATACTTTTCTTACAGTTAAGTCCTTGCTCATAACAAAATCTCAATAACCCAGCAAGTTTTCAACTATAAATACCAAGGAGTAATGATTGAGTTATTCAAACATACTCTTTTCCAAAAAATAAAAAATAAAAAAATCATTACCTTATATCCAATTTGATTGGATGTCTTTATTAAAGGGCAATTGAAGAAAAGTGTGACTTTTTCCACAGAAATACCATGTTAAAAATATATTTAAAGAAATATCCTATAAACTCATTCACAGGTTTTATCCAGCAAAAATTTAAAAGTAGGATTGATGTAAATTGTATTTTTGTAATGAATATGAGGAGACAGTTTTACACTCATTTTTGGCATTGTATGTAGTCAGTTTATGGGGTGAGGTGCAAAAATGTATTTATAACAATTTTTTTGTGTTCAAAACCTCTTTCGTCAATATAGAAAATTGTACATTTGTGCTTTACTTGATTATCATAGTCAAGAGGAAAATAGTTTGATTTATTTAATTTGCTAGTTGTTAACAAAATTGTACATTCATAAATGTAAATTTACTAATTAGAAACCAAATATTCAGGTATTGATGACTGACATATGCTTGTATAATACCAGTATCAGAGACTCTAAACAAGAAAGCATGACCCACTTTAAAAATGTGTGAAGTCCACAATGTATTTAATTGTTACATAAGTTATATTACATTTTGTATATTTGTATTTTATTTATAATCACCCCTTTGCATGTATATTTTTGTATTGTAAAATGTTATTTGCTGTTTATGAAATAAATTATATAAATATATATATATATATATATATATATATATAAATATATATATATATATATAAATATATATATATATATTTTTTTTTCCACGAGTAGGAGCTAACGTTTGTTTCCAGACTTGAGAAAACCTCATGAACATTAAATGACCCGTAATTTGGTGGGGCTCTTGCACTGACCGATAGCAACTCGCCTGTACAATTACCTCGTCATTTATTATATCTGACTCTGAATAAAAAGGAAGGAGGGGGTTAGCACAGTTTACAGACGGGACTACTAACATAAAAATAATCCTGCTGGATGTTAAATAGCCTAGTTAATCTTGCTCACGAATGGCTTGAATGAGCAGATCTTATGCTGTTGGCTGCGCAGCTCACTGTAACCTGACGTTGCAAACGCTTTGTGAAAAACAAATTTTCTGCACAAATTCTGCAAATCGGTATTATTTTTTAACTGCTGTTTTATTCAGGCTACGTCAGTTTTACACATTTACCGAACAACGTCGTTCTGTCCAAATGATGGCAAAGTTGACAGTGAGAAAGTCATCCGCTTTCCTGAGGCTGTCATGTTTCTGCAACTCCTAGCAAAACCGGAAATAGCGATACATTGCTTTGAAGGGAGCTTCCGGTGTTCAATTCCGCTGTGATAAAGGTCTATAAGATCGTAACTGTACTGTGTATTTACACCGTGGCCATGTTCATCTATGTAAACACAAGAAACAACATTATGCCAGATACTGTAAAAAGGCCATTACCAGCCACTGGACTTTTCTGACAGGATATTTGAGTGTCATCAAGTGACAGAATGTTGTGAGACTGCTGTACAGTAATTATTATTATGGATTATAGATCGCAGAATTTAGCGTTTTTTATTTTAGCTTTTTTTTTTTTTAAAGCATGCTGGTAAAACACAAACACAGTTATGAATATATTAAAAAGTGTTTGTTTGTTGTAAAAATACGTAATAATGAAAAAAAATACTAATTTGTGGATCTCCTTCAGGGTGCAGTCATACTGGCGTTGTGGCTGGTGTATTCTGGGAAATTTTCGTACCACTTGGTTTTAAGTGTGGTCATACAACATTGGCCACAAAACTGACAAAACTCACTGCATGTGTCAAAGGGCTATGATTACAAAATTGTTGACCCATTTTATTTACAGCAATAAATGAAGCACACAAAATAAAAAAATGTAATTATAAATTTGAATAACAAGATTATTTGTTTGTTTTAGAGAGCACAGATATAATAACTTGAATGATGGATCAAACCCATTTAAGAAAGTTTTTTTTAAACATTAGAAAGTCTCTCACTCTAAAGATTGTTAATGTATAAATGTTAATGATTTTAGCCTTGGGGTTTACAATGTATATATTTTATAATTAACTTCATTAAAAAAAAACTGTTGCTTGTTATTTAAGCTACTTATTTAAAATGAGTTGAAACGACACGATTCTTAAGTTTTTTTGGGGGGACAACTTTTATGATTGATGTTGAATCCACTTATATTTGTAGTAAGAGATTTGTGAACTTAACTGTTTTGGGATGACATGATGGAATTGTGTGTAACTTTTTTACAGTGTAATTGGGAAATATTTTATGCTTGATTTCTTAAACCATACCACCATGACATCAGCAACACGTTTCCAGTCCTCCTGGGAGAGCTCAGCACCAGTGGGATTGTGGCCCGAAACAAACAGGACCACCACACAATGCTCTGGAGTGTTCTCCAAGTCTTGCACCATGTTTTCCACACACAGTCCATTGGAATCTGCACTGCCGTACCGATACTGTTGCACATCATCAATCCCCGCTGCCTTAAATGTGTCTGTCAATGAATCTTTGGGAAAAACAAACAAACAAAAAACATGTATGATGGTTGCATTACATTGAGATATTTTGAGAAATTCTTCAGGTTAGAGAAGAAAGAACTGAAACTTTAGATTTTAATTAATACACAATTTTTTATGCTTTGAACACACCATCACAGCTACTGGGGAGCAAAATGGGTCCACTCCAAGGAGAATTCGAACAGTACCAGGATCTCAGCAACTCGGCACCCAGACGCACTGCTCCAGTATATCCAATGGTTTGGATGCCAAACACCTATTGTATGGCCAAACACATTTCATGAGCTAGAGATTTGTTAAATCAACCTAATCCACCACATGAGACTTTTTTTTTTCTTTGCCATAGAATAAAAACCTATCATTGCTTAATAAATTGTGTAAATCTTTGTGCATAAAAATAATAGCAGGCCAATTGGAAAAAAAATGACTGACTGACAATCCTCATGGGTTGTATACGAATATCCCCACAGTGAACATGAAAAACCCCAGTGTGCGTTTGATTGGTCACAATGTTTCCTCCATCCATTTCCATGCTGACTGTACTAAAATGCCATGGAAAGGTTAAGCAAACAGAACCATTAGCCCTGATAGTGAAAATTGGCCATAGAGTGTAAGGCACTGAAATGAACTGCATGAGCATGAGAAAAAGGTCATTAATAATAATAACAATGACCCTTACAAATATGTCCAAAAACAAACCAACCATGTCATATCAATTTCTAGTGTTGGAAAAGGATCTGTAAAAACATTTCTGAAGATTTGTGTTACACTTAATTAAGCCACATACAGTTGCGTACAAATATGAGAAAACAATTTATTTTAGCAATACATTCTATCACAACTTCAAAGTTACTAAATTTACTTTGTAATTTTGTTTTAAGTACATTTTATTAGCTTTGCTTTACTTAAATATAGAAATGCTTCTAAAGTAAATGCTTAATTTAAATCAACACCAATGTGAATTTCTTAATGCACTCTGTACAAAAACAAATCACCATAAAACAAAAGTACCTAGCTGAACAGAGACTCCAGTACTTTGTACAGAATTATACAAGAATTAAGTATGAATGAGTCATTTTGAGGAAATAAATAAATAAAATTCTTTTTGGAAATGGTCCCATCGCATGATATGGGGATACCAGTAAGGTAAGAAGGTTTCTTAGAATCCAAATGAAAACTGATGGACAAACATTTTATACCATTTCAATATTGCCTGAGCTAACTTTTGGAATTGCATCTGTTCAGTAGTAATTAGCAGCTAATTCTATGTGTTTATATCAGCTTATCTAGGTATCTTTTAGCAGCATAAGCACATAGCAAATCTGGGCCAAATAAAGATCAAATTATAACAGAATGAGAAATGCTCACTTTTAATTTGCTACTAAATAGCTCTGACAGTTTTTTTTTTGTTTGCTTTTTACCATTTATTGGTATTTATAATGCACATTGTAAATGTTGTTCCTAATCCATATCAAAAACCTAACAGCTAAAGCATCCACCCTAATCCCAGTAATAACTGTAAATTAGAAGGCAGAAGTCATTGGCAATAGTAAATATACTATTGTCCCCATACTAAACATTTTTACCTTGTTTTTGAGAACAATTGTACCAAGTGCAAGTTACAGCTGAAGTTGCAAGATGAGAGAAAAAACATATAGAGTTTAAAACTGACAAATATTAAGAACTATATGACATGAATGCCACAATGTATTATGTGACATGACTAAAGGAGCTGACGATTTCTGTCGACATAAGGGAACCTGGAACAAAAATTAACACATATATTATATATATATATATATATATAATATGTGTGTGCATGTGTGTTTTCAAGTATAGTGGCAAAATTTACAGGTAAAGCAAATAACCTGCAGATTATACATTCACAGAGACCACTGAAATGTAAAGAGAGGGTGGAAAAAAGTGACTGCACCCCTTAAAAAAACTAATTATACAAAAAAACAGCAAACAGCATTAAAAAAAAAATAAAAAAATCCATTAGGTGAAAGTGCCACATTGAAAAGTTTTAAATGTTTATATCTTATTTGCAACTTTACATACTGTAACACCAACTGAACATGCTGATATCAACATTATTCAAATACTATTATTTTTCTTATTTAAACCATGTTAAGTACATCTAAAGGGTAATATTTATCATTGGGAACAGTTGGTGTTAGTTTCTATTCTAGTTCCCATGCATTATGTCTATTATTAAACCAATTGCGTCACTTCTTTGTAATGCAGTAATCAAAAGCTTTTTGCAGTTTACAACTTCCACACTGACATTTCATGATAGTGTTGATGAAAAACGGTTTTAAAACATGTACAAACAAACCACACACTATATATGTACAATACCAAGCTTTCACAGCGCTATCAGTTTATTCAGCTTGCAAGTGTCTATTTATCAAAAGCTGGAAGTGGGGTTATTGGGGTAGTGTTCAACGTGTGCATTTAACAGCTGTAGGATGATAGTCTACTGTGATATTGTTACTGAAAATAATTAAAAGTACGTTACCCTGCTTTCAATAATGGCGGGGCTATCTTTGCCCAATGCAAGTTCAGTTGCCCTCCTGGTGAATTCTGGGATCCCAAGGATGGGTGGGTACTCTGGGTTTAAAGTTGGGTCTGTGGCAATTTGCAGTTTAATTTTGCGTACAAGTGGAAGCCACGTGGTGTGTCCTTGCTCCCCAACATACTCTGGTCATATAGAAAAGTATATTTTATTATAAACAGCCAATAAAACAAGTATTGAACTAAACTCATGACATTTCTGAGGATTAACTAATATGTCAAAAATATACTATTGATTATGCTATTGTGTTCATGACGTTTGGGCCACTAGTGTAAAATTCACCAGCATGTTGACTTTACTATGCATCTTATTCTAACACTATAATATAAATTACGAGCACACACAGCTTAAATCTCAGTTTTGATTTCACATGTTTGTTATACTGGTCTATAATATATACTGTATATATTTAATGTTAATCATTGATGCAAGTTGTAATCATGTCACGTGTGGGGAAAGGCAGTAAAATTACTTACCCCTCCCAGCAAGATTCACTTTATCAGGGTATGTGTCTCGTTTGAAATCCTCTATAATCTTCAACTTGGAAGACATGAAGACTGCACCATTAAACACAGAGCTAGATGATAATTCGTGCTGGTGCATTAATGGTTTTTCTCCCTCTACAAACATGTCATTCTCCAGCTCCTTGTCAATGACAGTAAGCAAGGGTTTGTTTACTGTCTGTTGCTTGGATGCGTGACTGTTTCCAAGCAACGGCTCATTAACTCTATAAACACTGCCACAGGCCTTGATGTCATACTCTCATCAAACTAGCATGCTTATTCTGGTGGTATCAAATTAAACAAAGTGAAGTTAATTTTACAATTCACAGAATACTGCTAAAATCAAGAAGAGAAAAAAAAAATCACATTTTTTTTTTATTTAACATTCTGTGATTTGTGTTTTATAAGACATGTATATCACAATGTAATAGGGAATACAAATAAAATGTATCATTATGTACAATCACTTTATTGCATTACACTTCCTTTGTTTGTCTTTAGCATTAAAACACTTAAAGATAATGGTTCTTTTTTTCCCCAAAAAACTATAATTAATATTTTAGTAAGTATATACTGTATTGAGGATGTTAATTACACAGGACCTATCATGGTCACAACTGTCAAAATTGGCTTTCATGATTGGCATTTTAACCATCTTCATCCTCCTCTTCATCCTGTTTTTCCTCCTCCTCCTCCTCAATCATTTCAATAGGATTCACTGCAAAAACACGCCAAAATTATGATTATTATTTTTCTTGCATGGTTGGACCAGCTTGATCTCACAAGGAAAAGTAAGTATTTTATGTTTTGGCAGTTTTGGAAAATGTACTATTTTAAAAGGGCGTGGCACCCAACCCCACCCCTAACTCCAACCATCATTGGGTGATGAGCAAATAGTACTAAATTGTACAAATTCATATGTATTAGTCATTAAATCAAAAAGTTACGAATTGCCTTGAAATTGCGTTGGACACCATTTACCATTTAATGAAACATTTAATTTACTACACACACACACACACACACACATATATATATATATATATATATATATATATATATATATATATATATATACTCAGTGTTCCCGCGGGTCCTTAAAGAATCTTAAATTAATATCCGGGAAATTAGGGTCTTAAATTGTCTTAAATTTTACCGTAAAGTGGCTGTACGTATTAAATTTTCAGCCGGTCTGCTTAATGACGATAGGGAAGCACAGTGGTCCACCGTAAAACATCTAATAGTTGATTAATTCATTATGTGAAACAGGAGAGAAATGACAGTCTCCGTGATTTATTAGCTTATTACGGTAGGTCGGTACAGAGTACAGATGCTGACGCTGGTCTGCACCTGCGTGCTGTCATTATGCGGTTGTTGATGTGAGGTTCAAAATGCAAAGATGGGAGAATGTAAATTTAACGACGTGGCAAAGAGGCAATGTGTAAATTCTGCAAAAAGAACTTTTCGTTAGGGACCATGGGGCTCAAAGTCATCGAGTATCACATGAAAGGAGGAAAGCGGCAGCTGGAAATTGCAGCAGCTAACGTTAGTCATAGCAGGTCCAGGTTAATCCCTGCATTGTTTGCAGCTCGACCTAACAATGTTACTAGTTTAGACTAGAGCTGAAGATCTTTGTTGGGTTTGGACTTTATTTCTATCATTTTAGATGGGGTCGTGCCGGGCTTGGGCTTGCGCAGTAAATGAACAGTCATGTGATGCATTTCGATTAGCGCGAGGAAGTAATCAAATTGTTTGTTACAACATTGAAATCCATCCCTGCAAAGGTAAATCAAATGATGACAGAGATGTCAAAAAGAGCGAATTATATCAGCGGTCAGGCCAGCCGCCTGTTTTATTCAAACAGTCATTCTAGCCGCTGGTATATAAAGGTATTTTGGCGGTCGCTCATACACTGCGTATTACGGTAGAGCACTAAGGAGCAGTGTCCAGCAAGCTGACAGGACATGACGAGGACACTCGCTGCATTGAAACCGCTGTCATGGAAAATGAAATGAATGTTCTTGACTGGTGAAAGATGAACAAACAATCCTACCCAAAACATGCTAAATTAGCCGGATCAGTAGTGTATCCCGGCCAGTAGCAGCAGCAGAGAAAAGGTGTTCAGTGCTGCTCAGTGAGCGCAGGACTGCGCTTAAGCCATTTACAGTGAATTCAATAATGTTCCCGCACAAAACACATAGCCTAATTATGATGAGTAAAGAATTTCAAATTATAACTAAATATTAATAAAATCATAATGTATGCAGAGTATACAGGCTAATGCAGGCATTATTCTATTATTCAGCTTCACCATCGCCTTATTGTGAAGAGAAGTGGCAAAACAAATCCCACAGAGCCTTTATCTTAATTTCGTTATTGCCAAATATCCATCATCAATTATCATTTATTCTAATTCATTTGCTAAAAAAAAATAGTTTTATTGGTGTGTTGGCCAATTTAAACGTTAATTGTATGTAACCAGGCCTATTTAGAGTGTTGAGATGTTAAGATGTTATAGGGGGCTTATTTTATTTTTTTATTCCAACTTGGCCTGTAGCCTATGTTATTAATAAGTACTGTTAACGCATATAAACAACTTATTCATGAAGAAAGACAAAAGAGCTGTGTGCATGTGCACATTTGGATAATGTCGGGCTATAAACGGGTTCAGGCTTTTAAAAAGCTGTCAATCAAAATGTACCTGTCGGGTTCGGGCTCTATCGGGCCTACCTTTCATAGCCTGATTACAGCTCTAGTTCAGACGCCCCCTCACAGTCAGCTATAACAGTTTCATTTCACCACCAGACACCCAAAAGGCAATTACTGCGGGTTATCCATACTGTGAGGAGGCACAATTTATTTGAATCTAACGAAAACATTAAAATGAGTAGCCTATTCCAAAGAAATTTTATAATTTTGGGTCCTAAATTATATTTGTTGAGGTCTTTAAAAGGTCTTAAAAAGCATTAAATTTTACTTTTAAAATGGTGCAAGAACCCTGATATACACACATATTATAAACAATTCAGAATTGTAATTACGTTAGAATTTAAATATATTAGAAACCATATATTTAATTTCTTCAGTTGTAAAAAAAACTCCTTTGAGTGGTTGTTTTTATTTTTCCTCCCTTCAATTTAATTCCAGTTCCTTAAAACCTCTCTGTCATTGCAATTTAAACTAGTCTAATTAAGTAATTTTTGTACAATCTCAGAACACGAAAATATATTATAATACAATACTTACATGTTATATGCTGAGCAGAGACAAACACAGGCCCTTTACCAGAGCACAATTTAAAGGTGACAGGGGGTATAAGCTCCAAGCCTGGAAAACTGATCTGCAACATAATGACAAAGCATTTATTCGTGAACATTTATGCTTAGCAGATCTCTGAAGACTTTCAGGCAAACTATTACAAACTAATAATCACCATTGGCATACAGTGGCGGAGGGTGGCAATGGGTAATGGTTTGGAAGCACCAACACCATCACAGACAGCCACTATATGCATCTCATCACCTGCATCCTCACTAAGACAAATCTGTGGCAAAAGAAATCAGACAATTTCATCAATATAGAGGAGAATGAGTTTAGAGAGCATTTTTTCCAATGTAGTTTAAAATATAAAATAAGTTACACGATAATACATATATACTACTACACACCATCCAGACTTTATAGGATGGGACTAGCTGGAAATAATCTGTGTTGGAAATGCAATAAAGAAGAGGATACTTATTTACACATGATCTGGGAATGTTGCTTAGTTTACCCATTGTGATGTAAATTTTGAATGGAGGAGTGACTAGGCTAAAAACTAGGTAACACAATGTTACCTTGATTTCCATATATGTTTACCATTTGTTTTTTAGTTGAATTTTCTTGATGTGATTCAAGGTGGTTGAATATGTAACATGTAACACATGTATGTGTAGTGTGTTCTTTGTTCTTGGCTGTTGAACAATAAAAAAAAGTTTAATTAATTAATTATTATTATTTTTTAATCTGATAATTTCTCTTAATAACATACCTTTTTAACATTGTGGTGTATAAGTCGCACTTAACTAATACATTTTGTACAAGTCACTCACCCTCATGTCTGACAAATAAAAGCATTAATTGGTCATTTGTTTTAAAAGTCTTTATGAAAGGCGGCAGACTTCTATTATTACTGCTGTTTTGTCAATACAGGTAAAAATTGTATAATATATATATATATATATATGAATGAAAAAAAATTAAGTTTTCACTACAATACGGAAAACATTTGTAACTTTTTTTTGTGTAAGCAAGTATTTTACAGTACTTTAGAAATCCTCGAAAATGTATCTGTTTATGTTTTCAAACTATTATATTTGATTTACCAAAGCCACACAAGTGGCAATTTCAAGTCACATCCAAAACTAAACTTTTTCCTCATAAATGCAAAAATATTAAATAAAACCTGTCATTTTTGTTCTAGAGCCGACTCTTATCCTTATGATTATCTTTTTTCTTTTGAGTTGTACAGTTTAATTCACAGAAGTACGAAGTATGTTGTTTACTGCAAACTCGCATACTTTTTTGGTCACATCCATAACGCATGTTTATTTTCCTCATTTAAAATATTAAAAAAATGTTTAAAGATGTATATTTTTCTGATTCCATAAGTATGTGGCCAAATGTTAATATATATAATATAAATATAATGTTAATACATAATAAAAATAATTTTTATGTGAATTTATGTTTTGAGTTTTTACTGCAAATGTCACATATAAAGCTGGAATTGCTCATATATATATATATATATATATATATATATATATATATATATATATATATATATATATATATATATATATTTATATATTTATATATATATAGTTTAGAAACAAAATAATCCCATTTTTGAAACATTATATGGTTTGATTAGTCAAATGGTGCGATGGTTCATTCAAAAATTTGGTAGAGTACCGATCGCTAGTTTCATTCATATGATTCAATGATATCAGAACGACTTTGGAGAGAAACCTAAACCTTAAATTCATATTTTTTAATAGGAAGCTATACAATATTATATTTGTGCATATACATCAGATTAGTCAGTACTGAAGCCAAATCTGGAGCTTATCTAACAAAATAACTGACAATAATGGTCCAAAGACTAGTACACGCAATTGTATATCTTATAGAAAAATATTAAATACACATTTAAAAAGAGGAAAAAAATCAAGAGAAGCAAAACAACTGAAAAATTTTGTAGGTTGTCATTTTCTTTCTGCAATAATTTGCTTGAATGTAATTGTATTATCTTTTAATTTCTTAATATTGTTAAAATGCAACAAAATACATTGCCTATATTCACTGAGAAGTTGATACAAATATTAGATTTTAAAATGGGGTGTACTCAATTATGCTGAGCACTTAATGTGGATAAGCAAAATATTTCAATGATGATGAGTCCCAAAAAATAGTTTAATATAATAACTGACAGATGTGTTACCGTTTTGATGAAAAACTGGTTCTCCAGAAGATCATTTTCTGCTTTAAAGACAGCTGTGGTTTTAGAGCCACTGAGTACACAACCTTAAAGAAATAAGCCACAAGTGGTAGGTAAAACAATACAGGCCACTAAAATGGGTCACTAAAAATATCTTACCCCAGTGAACACAGGCTCTGTCTGACACAGATGATGAGGTGGATAATTCAGACAAGCTAAATGAAGTTGCCGAGTCGTTTTCATCAAAGCTGCTCGTCATGTTAGCAAACATAATCGCTGCTGCTTTTGATATTTTTCAGTTCGTAAATGTTTGTTTACAAAGGGGCGTATTGTGTTTTGTTTTCTTTTCGCGCCCTGTGAAAATAATCAATAATGCAAGGTCAAAACAAAATATATCGAATATGCGCTGCAACAAAAATTGTATACATGTAATGTTATATTGTAAACAATGCTATTCACGATGCTCACCTGTAAACAGCGAGAAAAACCCTGCACGCAAACCACTGATAAACTGAACCCGTGGATGATGAACTTCAGGTGTTTTGCCTCAGCGTGTGAGCCACTTCGTCATACACCAGAGGGCGCTGGAGAACTTTTTATCAAGTTTGTTGCCTGAGGTTGTTGTGAATGTTTTATCCTGCAGTAAAAAGTTTTTGTTTTTTTAAATTATTATCTTGACTTTCTGTTCCCTTCTGTATGTTTTAAATATGAGATTTTCAATATTTTAGATTTTTTAATTATATATATATATATATATATATATATATATATATATATATATATATATATATATATATGTGTGTGTGTGTGTGTGTGTGTGTGTGTGTGTGTGTGTGTGTGTATATATATATATATATATATATATATATATATATATATATATAAGAATAGATGTAAGAAGTGTGTGTGTGTGTGTGTGTGTGTGTGTGTGTGTGTGTGTGTGTGTGTGTGTATATATATATATATATATATATATATATATATATATATATATATAAGAATAGATGTAAGAAGTGTGTGTGTGTGTGTGTGTGTGTGTGTGTGTGTGTGTGTGTGTGTGTGTGTGTGTGTGTAATTTTCATACTATTGCATTTAGCTGTTACGTGTCCTGCTCACTCATTAGGTTTTCTAGCAACAAATTAGTGGACATTGGAATCCTTTCCAAAATCTTGTTTTTTGTTTTATAGTCAAATACGCTTTATTTCATCTAGCTTATGCTTTTAATGTCTTATATTGCAAAAACAGTTTAGCTAACTGTATGTATGTATGTAGGTATGTATGTATGTACTGTATGTATGTGTACAGTTGAAGTCTGAATTATTAGCCCCCCTGTTTATTTTTTACCAAATTGTTGTTTAACGGATAATTGTTTTTAGCACATTCTTAACATAATAGTTTAATAACCCTTGGTGAGCAGGATAAACTTATTAAAAAACATTTAAAAATCCTACTGACCCTAAACCTTTGACTGGTAGTGTACATTGTTAAATGACCAGAGTTAATTTGAAATAGCTATTTTTTTTTCATAACATTATAAACGCCTTTGTTGACATATAATAAATCCTGCTGGCTTAAAGTATTAAACTATATTTGGATGGAAAGTTCAGCTTTTTTGATCAAACATTTCTTAAACAATACTTGTTTATCAATTATCAGAAAAAAAGAGATTAAAAGACTTCTGACCTTTTGCTAACCTCTTAGTGTTTTTATTGTCTCATGATTTTCATGTGCTTCTGTTGCAGGGTGAAATTCTTGAACACATTGTTTTGGCGGGTGAGTCTGAAAGTTGCCTGTGTTGCTTATCAGATAGTCAACCGATCTGTCCTGCTCTATGACATTTTTACCTCTTCTTTTCTGAGGAATTCTCCACGTTCTTTCTTCGGTAAGTTTCAAAAGAACATACCCACTCACTCTATACTCATGTTATCTCCAGTGCCTCAGTTATCTTGGCATCGGCACCCTGCCTAGACCTGCAGTTTATTTGAGGAACACAGAATCACATAAGCGGGCACAGTATTATTTAGAACTTTGAAAGAAATATGATTCACATTGCTTAAACACACAGCTGTTTTGGTTGATGCTATTTTAAGCCAATTACGGGAAATGTTCATACATTTTATTATCTAAATGTTTATACTTGGTTAAGGAAATGAATGCAATGCTTTCGCTTCAGTACACATGTGCCAAATGCAATAACTCACTTGTAATTCAAGAAGTTTTTTTCTTTCTTTAGTAAATAATAAAATAAGAGTTGACAATTTGTCTAAATGTCTTGACTTTTTACTCCATGTATTAGATGATATACCTACATTAATTGGAGTAGGAATAAGGGATTATGCAAAAAGAGATCCACACAGACACACACACACTGCTCAGTCAAAAAGCCTGTCTGGCAATTAATTAAATCATTGAAAATATACAATATTTATATATTTTGTTGTAGACTGTCTAGCTGCATTTGCCCTTATATCTCAGCTGGAATTGTTTAAAGTTTAGAAATTAAAACATTTGACCACCATTGTCTTTTTGACTGAAGAATGAAAGAAATATATTAGAAAAAAATAGAAGTATTTTTTTTATTCTTGAAGTGAAAAATTCTTTTAAAGATGGCCATAGCCTCTTCTTCATCATTCATTTTAATTCATCTTCATTTGACAATTCAGTACCCTATTATTATTGTTAAAATGTAGTCAAAATTGCTATACTTTTTTAGATACTTCTGGTGGTGATACAGATATAAATCTATGATTGATGATCCAATCTCTAAAAAGTGTACAGTTGAAATCAGAATTATTAAACCCCTTTATTTTTTTAAGATTTTTTTTTCAAGGACATTTTCTGATATGTCTGATTATATATATATATATATATATATATATATATATATATATATATATATATATATATATATATACTTATTTATTTATTTTTTATTTTTTTCTGGAGAAAGTCTTATTTGTTTTATTTCAGCTAGAATCAAAGTAGTTTTTAAAGTTTAAGATAATCATATAGTTCACCTATCTCACATTAAAAGTTCTTTGGCATGGAACACCAAAATGAAGGGCTTAAAGAAGGTGCTGGAACTTTAGACAGCTTTTCGCAATGCTTTCCAGGTAGTGTCATTAGTTAATGTAGTCCACAAATCCTCCTGTCAAGAACAAGTACATGACAGTTTATATCTTCTAAACTAATTTTACAAGGTGAACATCAAGGAGCTGTTTTCTTGTTAATTAGGTTTCAACACGTACCGTTTAAAGTACCTAGTGCATTCTTTAAATGCTAATGCTTATGGTTCACATCTACTTAAATTTGCAGTATATCTTGTGTGGAAGCAGGACAGATGTAGGGCTAATTTCCTGGACTCCAATGTGGTTGTCAATAAGTTGTCATACAAATCAGACAAAACAAAATACTTTATGAAAAAGAAAAAAAAGGTTGGCCACTATCAACACCCAGAACAAATGTGTCTGCCTCTTTCTCCAACATACTCTCGGTTCAGTTGTTTTTACTTGTGGTGCTTTCTGCAGATCACAAAGTTGTCATCAAGAATAAAGCTTATAATTGACATCTTGATCAATATCAAGGTATCAAGGTTCATAAGTTGCTCTTGGAGTTCTGAGTCACTCATGGTGATAGGCAAAAACTGACTGAAAGAAACAAGGATTAATCAAACAAATAAAATGTTTTAATAGAGATAGAGTGGGACAAGTGCAATTTAACAATATCGACAATGGTTGAAAAAGTGCCTTTACCTTTTGCTTATTAAAATATTGGGAAATTGGGTTTTAAAGTAATTTGAAGAACCTGAAAAGAGCAAAGAAAAAAATATTCATATCTAAACACCCTATAGTTTACACCCGTATACACACACACACACACACACACACACACACACACACACACACACACACACACACACACACACACACACACACACACACACATATATATATATATATATATATATATATATATATATATATATATATATTAGCCCCCTGAATTATTCACCCCCCTGTTTATTTTATTTCTCAATTTCTGTTTAATGGAGATATTTTTTAAACACATTTCTAAACATTATAGTTTTAATAACTCAATTCTAATAACTGATTTATATTATCTTTGCCATGATAAAAGTAAATAATATTTTTCTAGACATTTTTCAAGACACTTCTATACAGCTTAAAGTGACATTTATTGGCTTAACTAGGTTAATTAGGTTAACTAGGCAGGTTAGGGTAATTAGGCAAGTCATTGTTTAACGATGGTTTGTTCTGTAGACTATCGAAAAAAAGATTAGCGTAAAGGGGCTAATACTTTTGACCTTAAAATGGTGTTTAAAAAATAAAAATTGTTTAAAAATATTTAAAAAAGAGAAAAAAAATTCAAAAGAGGGATAATAATTCTGACTTCAATTGTGTGTGTGAGTGTATATACATACATATGTATATACAGTATATATATATATATATATATATATATATATATATATATATATATATATATATATATTTGCTTTAATATTGATGCAGTTATGAATAAAATTGTATTATTAGAGGTAATATTTATTGCAATAAAAATGATAACTTATTTAGATTTTAGACGATTACTATTTTGGAAAACAACAACAATCTGGTAAAACTGTTCCTCATCTTCAAATGTATAACTATATTGTTCTGAGCTATGCACGACTATATGTGGGAAAAATATATATATTTTTTTTTTAATAAATGAACTTGGATGTAACTAGAAAACATTGCTAGTACATGCTTTATTTACATCAAGTCTGCATCAGGAGATAGCCATCCTGCTTTTATAAAGGTTTTAAACAAACCCCTAATCTAAATCAACAAATTGTCTTTATTTGTTTACTTTTTACCTACCGAGTGGAAAAGCGCAGTGGACCTTGGGATCGCAATGAACCTTGGTATTGCGATTATAGCCTGTAAAAAAAAAAGAGATTGCGACATACAATGACCCCAACTCCAATGAATAATTTAATAATAAAAAGATCAGCTAAAAATATTTTTTAAACTAAGTACTTTAAATGTAATATTTTTAAAGTAAAACAATAAAAAATAATTAATTAGTTTTATTAGGCATAATTACCATAAACTGCCTAATCGAATACAATGTCACTTATTAAATATAAAGTAAATGATAACATATTTACTAATCTCTAATAATAATAATAATAAAAAAAAAAAACATTATGCTGCATTAACCTACCACATATCGCTGCATAGTTGAACTCAACGGTAAACTCACCGGTGATGCATTTTGACCAATAGCTGAGCGATGTAAACTGACCATGGAATGGAAGTCATGTTGACCGAGGTATATTCTTATTTACAGTTGTCTCGACCCTATTTACAGACGCTTTTCTTTAACAAAATCACATATTTTCAAAAAAAAAAAAAAAACTGCAATAATAGTTGTAAACCTGGTTTAAAATATTACGTTGACATCTATTGGCTTATGCGAGGCTTTGTATGTCTCCATATGACACCTGAGGCAACCC